TAGGTGTCAATGGCACGTCAAGGCCCTCGGCGAACGCCTCACTCACAAATGAGCGTTGTGCCCCGGTATCAATGAGGATCCTCGCACACCTACCATTGATCTTTAATGTTCCTACATTTATACACCATGTAAGATACATTTTCTAATGTTTTTACACATTTTTAGGAGGTTATTAGGCTCATACTAATGTTTGGAATCAAACGGGGGTCCAAACGTAGAAGAACGGGGCGAAAAAATCAAGTTTCGGCTATTGGGGGTCCACGCACGGCGTGCCTGGGTGGCACGCACGGTCGTGCGTGAGTGAGAAAATCGAAACCCGCCACTGCCGGCTACGCACGATCGTGCGTCTCACGCACGGCGTGCCTTACCTGCACGCACGGCGTGCGTCTGCGCGGAAAATGGCCAAAGGCTGCTGCCTCGCACGCACGGTCGTGCGTCTGTAGGTACGCGCGACCGCGCGTAGTTGTTTTTAGCCCATTTCGCTCCGAATTCGCGGGGTTTGACCCCGGGGTGGCCCGCACCCAAACCCAATGACTCGTATGACCCAGATAAGCCTAGAAATACATGGGAATACGTGTATTACCTGCAACGGAGTCCGGGTTTGCTCTCGCATCCGCCTCGGTCATCGCGTACACTCGGGCTTGGGTCCCACCTTGGTTGACGGATGCGGCATGACTTGTGGATGCGCCGCCTCTTCCCGTGCCGCCGTTTGACGGTCCCGCACGGTTCCTTCCCGTCATGGTCCCTCCCCCGGCTCCCGAGGCACTCTCTTGCATCAATTGAGGGCAATTGGCCTTCATATGGCCCGCATTCCCGCACTTAAAACACCTCGGTGGTTCATTGCACTTCCCAAAGTGTTGTTTTGAGCAATTGGGACATCTAGGTGGCCCCGAGTTCTGTGGCCTAGGTCCGTGCCACCTCGCATCCCTGTTCTTCTTTGCCGGTGGGGCCGGCGCCTTGAATGAACCACCGCCACCACCACCACCCCCGTGGTTGTTTCTTCGAGAATGATCGGGTGGTCCCGAATTATTCCACTTCCTCTTCTTCGCCTCTTCGGCGTCCCTTGCTTTCCTCTCATTCCACTGGGCCTCTCCAAGAAGACCCTGTTCCACCACCTCGCTAAATGACATGTGGCGAGAGTATGTAGCTCGGTCGCGGATGTCCAAGAGTAATGCATCCCAGAAGTGCTCCGTCATGCGGTTTTCATCAACCGCGTACTCTGGCAAGAACCTCGCCAAGGTTCTAAACTCTTGTTCCAGCTGCTTAACCGTGCCGCCATCTTTCTGTTTGAGGTTAGTGTACTCTCTCCGTTTCACATTCACCTCGTACTCGGAGTAGTATTGAGCATAGAACTCTAGCTCAAAGTCCGCCCATGTTATTTCCCCATGGTACTTCCCTTCCACACTCTCCCACCACGTAGAGGCTATCCCTTCAAGTAGCCGTGAAGCGACAGTCAACTTCACGTCCGGTGTGATTTGCATGTCTCTTGATGCATCCTTCACCTTCTTAATCCAATCGGCGGCAACGGTAATGTCACCGGTGCCGTCAAAGGACCTACACCCCAAGGCCCTAGCCTCCTTGAGGTACTTGGAGATTCTCACAACAAAACCTCCTTCACGCCCCCCTTGTGACGCCGCTGGGGTGGCCACGGAAGCTCCCCGGCTCCCTTGACCCGAACCACCACGAGAGCCACGCCTCGCTTGGCGCCTAAGGTCTCTCCTCTGTTTCTCCTTTTGATACCACTCAAGTAATTCACCCATTTGGGCGAAGCGGGCATCACTTTCATCATTGTCCTCATCGGTGTATGTGTCACCCCCATCATATGGGGTCTCCTCATGCTCTGTCTCAGGAACATACGTAGAGTCATAGTCCTCGGTGTTGGTTTCATACACCGAGCTTACATGGCCATCACTCACAGTTTGAGCTTGATGACCTCCACGGCTTCCACGGCCTCCACGGCCTCCTCTTGAACCCCGAGATGCAGCCCGGCTTCCCCTTTGGGATGTTACCGGCGCCTGCCCCCTCGGATTGTTCCTGGTCCGCATTCGCCTGCCCTCCATTTCTGAAAGAAATATGGATGAGTCATTAGACTCCTATAAATGTCAATTGACGGAAGAACGTTACAGACACGTATTGGTCTAAGTCACCACCATACCAATTGTTAAGGGTACCGTCTTAACAATTAGAGGCCTTGCAACTTAGGCTCCAATAGTCCCATAACGTCAAAATCCAATGCTCATGGTTTTCGGTAAAAACTCTTTCATAAAATCTCATGTGAGAGGTTGATTATATAGTTTAGAACTGAGCTGGCTCTGATACCACTTAATTGTCACGCCCCAGACCGCAATCCAAGCGCGTGTACAACCGCCGTATAATCAAGTGACGTCACCCGCGAGTCAACCTCACTTGATTACACAAGGCGTTCGAGAGAAATAATCCATCCATACTCAGCAGTAAACATACATAACAACATCACATTTAAACCAATGAATAGCGGAAGTATTCAACGGTAGTCATAAGCCACAACCGGCCAATAACATGGGCATGCAAGCCCCAAAAGAATAGTTTATGACAAATAAAAATATCCATGAGCAGTGTTTGGTAATTTGAAATGAAATGAGGAAGCACGAACCACGTCTTCCTTGATTTGATGTCACCCGTAGAAAGGTGCAGGTAGCAAGCCCTAGCTTCAACCTGAAAATGGTGGGGCCCCCCGAAGGGGTCAGTACAAGTACCGAGCGAGTAGCAGGCTAAATATAGAATAACTAGCGTTTCAAGTATAAGACCCAAACATAGGATGATACATATACGTATAGTCTTTCCCCCAAGTTTGAAATACATATTAGTATACATACACTTGGAAATACCCGACCCGTAGGTCATTGTTTATTTGGGAAAATAATAGTAGCCAATATCCTTGACTTAAATCCCAACCCACCCATATACCTATGAGTGTATAGAACTCCTCCTTGTTCAAATAAATTATCATGAGGACACCGCCCGGTCCTAGATCATTAAATGTAATCTATGAGTTTTGAGGATACACGCCCGATCCTTGGGTACTCCACCATATAATTGAGTTTTGAGGATAACCGCCCGATCCTTGGGTACTCCACCCTATATAACCGAGTTTTGAGGATAACCGCCCGATCCTTGGGTACTCCACCCTATATAACCGAGTTTTGAGGATAACCGCCCGATCCTTGGGTTCTCCACCCTATAACCGAGTTTTGAGGATAACCGCCCGATCCTTGGGTACTCCACCCGACCTATGACTTACCACATATCACACTAGATAGGGTCTATATCATATTTAGTCACTCATAACTAATTCAATACATAAGACTTATGTATCACAATTCATGCAAATCCATGCAATTATATAAATGTACAATTAACTAATATCAACCGACATTAATTAATCCATTGTCCATCGGTCAACGTTGTCGTTGACCGCCATTCAAGCCTTGTACATGTCAACTTAATCATCATATAATTAAGTTAATAATAATCATTTGTGCTTCTTTGACATTCCCAACAAATATGCATTTCATATTATTTCTCATATCATCATTAATTCTTGTGCATATCATGTTTCATGTATAAACAATTAATTCTTTTCATACAAACTTATCTATGTTGGCTAATCACGTGTTTAAATATCTTTTAAACATCATTATGAACACTTATAACATTTATTTAGGTAATCTTATAATTAACCCAAAAGTTATAAGATATTAAGCCGTCCACTCACCTTGAACTAGCGTTATGAAGTTCTACCCTTCTTGGTTGAACTCCGGTGGAACTCCGGCGACTTTTGGCCAACTCCGGCGACAACTCCGGCGACTTTTCCAACTTTGTGAAATCACTTGAAATACCTTTCACAAGTTCCTAACAAGGTTTTATAATCATAAAACCCATGTTAATACAAATAACCTCAAAAAAGGTTATTTTCCGGTGAACCGGTCGTTTTGGCTTCTAAGTCCGTTCTTGGACTTAGAACCATTTTCCAACCCATAAATCCATACTTATAACATGTGGAATCATACTAAGGGTCCTTCATATGATATATACCTCATATGATAGAAGAAAAATAAAGGAAAAGTTATAATAAGGTCATTACCTTAATTTTCACACTTTTTCCTAGCTTTTTCCTTCTTTAATCTTCCTTCTTGGAACCCTATGGCTTGAGCTCGAATTTTGGCTATGGAAGATGAGTTTGCAGAGGTCTCCTTGTTCTCTTGGTGTGCCTTGGTCGAAATTATGGGGTGGGTGAGTGAAGAGATAGCCTCTTTGGCTTTTCTCTCAAAATAATGTGAGAATGGACCCCCCCATTGTACCTTTGATAGACTCCTCACCCTTCCTTTGTCTTGCCAGCCACCAAGAGTCACATTTAAGCTGAAAAAAAAAACGTGGGATGGCCCCCACTCATGTGGGAGGTCATCCCTTTATGCCCCGAGGTGTACAATCGGTCCCGAAAGTTGTATTTTTCGGACTGTTTTAATCATATTTTATTTTATCGGGTAAAATAAAGTATATTACGTGTTCTCAATCGTAATGGCCTTTTGAAATAATATATATTCCAAAACATTGATTTAGAAGTCTCCGAAATTCATTTTCGGGCTGATATCTGTTAAATTACCAGTACCGGTAATTTGGGCTTCTTTTGACGAATCGGTCAACTCTGGGCCTTTCCATGGTCCAAATGAAATATTCACCACTATATATTTATTATCTAGACCAAGATGAATAAAGTATATGGTCTCGGGAATGTCGGGCGGCCCCCGCTCCCGGTGTGGGCCCCACGTGCACTTTACTATTCACGCGAAAGAATAATAAAAATTTACAACTTCGTAAATTCGTAAATCATTCCATAAGGTTTATTACATCATTTACTTGAAAGTAAATACATTTGGGGACGGTGTTACAACACATCTTCCATATCTCTCATTCTTCATCATATTTTTTCACTACAATTTTGTTATGTCTTCCTCAAAAAGGGGTGTTAATTGGAATGCTAAAGAGGATGTTGTTCTATGTAATGCTTGGGTCACCATATCTGAAGATGGTGCCATTGGAATAAATCAACCGGGGGAGACTTTCTGGGGCCGAATTCACGAGATATTTTCGGCACAAAGTCAAATTCCTCGAACTCGAGATGCAATTGAGTCTCGTTTCAAGATCATCAATAATCAATGTTCTCAATGGAAAGGTTGTGTGCGGAAAGTGAACGCAACTCCGAGGAGTGGGTCAAACCTAGACGATTTGGTAATTTCTAAACTACTCTATTATTTGATTTTAATTCATAAAGTATATACTAATATATTTTTGAAATATATATAACTATATTAATATTTTAGAGTATATTAGTATATATTCGTATAATATTTAGTGTATATATAACTATGTAATTAAAGCATTTATATATATTCGTATAATATTAGTATAATATTAGTTATATATAATATATATTCGTAATATATATTAGTTTTATTAGTATATTATATATATTAGTTATGTTAGTATATTATATATATATATATATATATATTAGTTATGTTAGTATATATATATATATTAGTTATATTAGTATATATAAATATATATATTGTTGGGTGTGTTTCGGAAGACGTCTCAGCAGCAGGCTGCGGAAGACATCTCAGCAGCAGGCTGCTGCGGACTGTCCTGCCGGCAGCAGGCTGCGGAAGACGTCTCAGCAGCATACTGCTGCAGACTGTCTTGCCGGCAGCAGGCTGCTGCGGACTGTCCTGCCGGCAGTGGGCTGCTGGAGCAGCCGGCTGCTGCTCCATTTCAACGGGTAAACTTCGAAAATCGATATCTCATTCACCCGTTATCCGTTTTGAGTGTACCACGTATCGAATTGTAGCCCTTAACAAGGACAATACGAAACCAATTTCACCCGACCCAAATCGGAAGTGGACCCCACTCAAAAAATTGCCCCAAAATAGCCATTTAATGCAATTTTTCACACATTTTTCCAACACACACACACACACACATATATATATATATATTAGTAATATATATTAGTTATTTTAGTACATATATAATATTAGTATATATATTCGTATAATATTAGTTATATTAGTATATATATATAAGTTATATTGGTTATATTAGTATATATATTCGTTATATTAGTGTATATTAGTTATATTAGTTATATTCACAATATACATATAACTATGTAATTAAAACATTTAATTATATTACTATGTACTTTACTCCTTTATTATTATTATATTGTAGAACTTTCAAGCCAAAGACATTTTCATGAATGATAACAATGGCAAGACATTCAAATTTGAGCATGCGTGGCGTGTCCTCCAAGTGTGTCCGAAGTGGTACCAACAATACGAAGCTCCGGTATCCTTCTCCCGGCCAATATCGTCTCCACAATCGCACGATTCGCCCACACTCGGAGGTAGTGCTAGCTCTCCCTCGGATGGAGAGCCACTTCAACGTCCCGAAGGCCGGGACAAGCAAAAGGCCAAAAGAAGTGGAAAAGCAAAGGTGTCTAAGTTAGATCCAATGATGACGCAATGTTTACAAGAAATGATTGAGCAAGGCAGAGAACAAGCTTCAAGAAGAGCTAAGCGTGATGAGCTTCAACACAAAGCCGTAGAGTCGGAGATTACGAGAAACCAGTATGACTTACTAGCTGCGGACCTTTCAAAGTTTTCACCGAGGAAGCAAAGGTGGATTAAGCAAAAACAAGATGAAATAATGGGGTATTCTCAAAATTCCTCAAGTGATGTTCCCGACACTCCTGCAGAAGAAGTGTACCGTCCCCACTTTGATTTCTAGTTATTATGTTTTGTTGTTTTTATTTTGTATTGTGTTGTAAGTTGAATTTCACATATGTTTCACTTTTAAATTCCATGTTTTGTTATTTTAATTTATTCAATGTGTTATTATTTTAATTATGTGTGCTTATTTAATGTTCACGTTTATTTTTATTTAAATTAAATTTATTTTAGTGACTTATAAGTTTGTCACATTATTAAGTAATATTCTAAAAATATAGAAGTAATTTACACAAACGCGAATATTTTATTAAGACACATAAAAGTTCCAGAAATACATAAAGTTTTTCGGAAAAACATAAACAGTACAACTACGAAGTTAACACTAGTAAATGAAATACATGAAACACAACTAGATTAAGAAAACACATAAATATTTAGGGGAAGCAAATAAACTACATTCCATTTCCATGGTGCATCCACAGATGGTTTATGAGATCACTTTTAAGCGATGTGTGCACCGAGGAGTCTCTAATTCGATTGTGGCGCATCATATATTGACTCAAGGTCGGACCATCATGGTTAAGATCCAATTCAACAATACCACCAATATAGTCATAGTCTTCACGGTAGTCTTGTTGGGTTGATTCTTCATCATTCTCTTCATATTCATCTTCCACTATCATGTTGTGCAGTATAATGCATGCCAGCATTATATCACCTAATGTGCGTATGTCGTGCAACCGTGCAGGACCTCGCACAATAGCCCACCTAGCTTGTAAAATTCCAAATGCTCTTTCAACATCCTTACGAAAAGCCTCTTGCATTGAAGCAAAAAGCTTTTTCTTAGGAGTGTCTGGATGACTTATTGTCTTAACAAAAGTTCCCCAACTTGGGTAAATCCCATCAGCTAAATAATAACATTGATTATATAGCTTACCATCCACGCGGAATTGTACCTGAGGGGCAGATCCATTTACAACAGCATCAAAGACTGGAGAGCTTGCAAGAGTGTTGAGGTCATTGTTGGAACCGGCTGTGCCAAAAAATGCATGCCACATATGAGTATCATAAGAAGCAACTGCTTCGAGAACAATTGTTGGTTTTCTTTTGTACCCGGTGTACTGGCCGGCCCAAGATGTAGGACAGTTTTTCCACTCCCAGTGCATGCAATCAATGGACCCAATCATCCCGGGAAAGCCTCTTTTCGAGGCCTTTTCAAGAAGACGATGCAGATCTCCGGGGTTAGGGGTTCGTAGGTACCAAGAACCATACACACTAATAACTGCCCTACAAAATTTTTTCATGCACAAAAGTGTAGTTGTCTCACTCAAACGACATAACTGATCTAATGAATCAGCCGAGCAACCATTGGCGAGCATAAATATCGCACTAGTGAGTTTTTGATTAGGAGAAAGAGATACCTTGTTTGTTGCATCTATTGTACTTACAAAATAGGGATCGAAAGCCATGACATCTTTCATGATTCGATCAAATAGAGCCGGTTGCATGCGATAACGACGACGGAAGATACGTGCATTGTAGGTGGGATTTGGATTCCAGTAATCATCCATCAACAAACGGTGTCCAGCTTCCCGACCACGGTCTATGTAATCACGACTACTATTGGAGCTTGTTGCAACCAAAGAAGCCATCAAAGCCATGCGCATGCGGTCGGAATAAGCTTCTTCATCTTCATCTTCATTAATGGATTTGTAAAATGCGGGAAAAGAACTCATGATGTTTTTGGCCTTGTTGAAAATGGGAGAAGTAAAGATGAGGTGTGTGATTCCAATGTCAAGTGAGGCCATGTATTTATAGTAATATAGTTCTTTGATGTTCACACCAAGTGGAGGATACATCCAAATTAATATGTTTGGACCAAGTGGAGAATAGCATCCAATGTGGTATGGAAGATTACACATGGTGAAAAAGAGAATCCAATGTCATATAATGTGCTATGAAAGGACACAAATAATGGAAAAGAGAATCCAATGTGATTTGAAAAGATACAACAAGTTGAGAAGGGAATCCAATGTGTTATGGATAGACACAAAGTTGAGAAGAGAATCCAATGCTCTAATGTGTTGAAAATCACTCAGGAAAAAACGTAAAAAAAAAATAATGAAATTTATTTTTTTTTACATCGAAATGTGTCTTTTTTATTTTATGATTAATCAGAGAAAAAATTAAAAGGAAAACATTACTTATAATAATTTAATTAATGTTTTACTAAATTGATATGTAAAAAAATGTGCAGAGTGTATTTTATTGACGGTGCTGGAATGCAGAGAATAGGAGTCAAAACACTGTTTTCATATCGACGGAGTCCATTTTTGACATTTGGACTCTTGCACCACTCCAAATGGTCTAATAATACATATCTCTTTTCACTATTCTTAATCTACCCACTATTCAAATGGGAACGGTTAAAGAGGTAGTATACAGCTATACTTTTTGGAATTCTTAAAGCCCGTTTGGTAGCCCGAAAATCGGCTGTTTTGGCTGATTCTGCTGAAATTTATGAAGTTCTGGCTGAAGTGGCTGCTTTGGCTGTTTCTGCTGATTTAAGTAAAAATTATTTTTAAAATATATTTTATTAATAAAATAAAGAAAAAATTATATGTAAAAATAGCTAAAATGGTCATCTACATTAACTTCAGCCAATACAGCCAGAAAAGTAACTCTAACCTTACTTTTTCTGCTTATTACACAATTCAGCGCGCGAAAGTAAAAATTACGTGTTTGATGAAAAAGTTAGCTGATAAGCCTGATAAGCCAAAAAAAGATGTTACCGAACGGCCTCTTAGTCTTCTTCGGTTCACGCTCATCAGCAAATTAAAGTGTCAATTCAATAAAACTAGCCCGACGAAACATTTGATAAAATCTTTTCAGCCTAATGAACAAATAAATACCCGTCAAATTCTGATTGTCTTACTTCTTCTACTCCTTAATGGTGAACAACAAAGGTGACATACTGACATTACCAACCAAATAGCTAGGTTTTAAGTAAATTAGTCTTTTATTCATGCAATGATGCTTATTAGTTGTTGTGATCTTAGGGCTCACACAAGTTTATTATTGCCCCAATTTGGTGAAAACATTAGAATTTGGTATTCTCCCTAATTTGCTAGAATTTTCTTGTTCTGGTAGTATCTATAGAGTATAGATCTCTCCCACTCAATATTACCGTACCCCACATTGTACATATTTTATTTCATTGGAGAACGTGACCTAATGACATAACGTATTTGAAAATGTTTTATATCTGTATATAGACAAAAAAATACTCTTCACAAACATGAGTGTGTAGGTGTGTGTATGAAAATGTGTACCTCAAGCTGGATTGTACTAAAAACAAAAAATCTATTTGTACACATTTTGCATACACACACCTACACACTCATGTTTGTGAAGAGTATTTTTTGTCTATATACAGACATAACGTATTTGAAAATGTTTTATGTCTGTATATAGACAAAAAGACACTCTTCACAAACATGAATGTGTGTATAGAAATGTGTACCTCAAGCTGGATTGATACTAAAATTGTTTTTTACTTTGAATGCGGAGTATTTTATTTCCGCTTTGGGTCTCACGATCTGCCATGTCAATTTTTAACGGTTGTTATTTATTTGTGTACTTACAAAATGGGAAGCGTATACCATACAGCCGGCTGTACGGCTGGCACCGTACAACCGGTGGCAGTTTTGTAATTTTCATGAAGTTTGTGGTTTCTCGTAAATGAGCATTGATGTAATTTTGATGAGCATCGAGCTTGTTCTTCTGAGTATTAAAAGCCTAACAATGAGCACCAGTGATCTCTGCTTCATATTTTCTAATTCGGTTTCTTTTTATGATTTTTTCATTTATAAAAATTAAAAATCTTAAATTATGTTTATAATTAATTTCAATATGTGAATCTAATGTAGTATGATATGTTTGATATGTGCATCATTTTAAAATGAGCATAAAACAGTACTAAATGAGCATACATAATTTATAAAATGAGTATAAAAAACATTCAAAACTTTATTTGTGTATGCTCATTGATTTTGGGCGTATATTTGATATGTGCATCATTTTAAAATGAGCATAAAACAATACCAAATGAGCATACATAATTTACAAAATGAGTATCAAAATATTAAAAACTCATTTTTGTGTGTTCATTCATTTTGGGCATAATACTCATTTGAATTTAACTTAAAACTCATTTTGAAATATGCATGAATATGACATTTTAAAAAGAGTATTGTACTAATATCAAATGAGTATACATAAATTACGAAATGAGCGTTCAAAAAACTCATTTGAGTATGCTCATTCATTTTGGGTGTTATACTCATTTCAATTTTACATGAAACTCATTTTCAATGTGTTCAATATTAGTTTGTGTGGGTTCATTTCTTTTAGGCGTATACTCATTTCTTTTAGGCTCATTTAAAATCACCACCATGCTCAAACTTTTATTTGCGTATGCTCATATCTTTAGAATTACGTACAACCTAGGTTATCCCTGACCCAAAAACCACCAAACTAAAATAATCAGTGTGAGAAAAATAGAAAAAGGAAAAAGAAAGGAACAGAACGTGCGAAGTTAAGGACGAAGCTGAAGGAGAGCTGCTGAAGGGTTGCGGTTGTCGAAAAAGGGAGAGGTGCTAGTAGGCGGCGAGCAACGGAGCAAGGATGATCGGCCATGGAAGCCTGCGATGGAAGCCCTGCGATGACGGAAGCCTGCGATGGAAGCCCTGCGATGACGGAAGTCTGCGATGGAAGCCTGCAATTCGCGAACTAAAAGTCCGGCTGTACCGTGCGCACGGTACAGCCGGCTGTACCATATAATTTGCGTACAAAATGTACTTCGTACAATAAATTACGCTGAATACATTTAAATAAATTGCTTTTCATTATAACAATATTTCCCCCTTTAATCTATCCAACTTTTAAGTTTTAACGGTTGTTATTTATTTGTATATTTCCGCCCTTTTCATCACAAAATGTACCACTTATCCTTTGTTTGAATTAGATAGTAAAAATCACAATTTAAAGTATCATCGATCGGTAAAGTTACTCTTATCATCAAAGGACTTAAATGTTTTTACGATTTTTCTAACCTAACTTGGTTTGATTTAATTGACCTGCTCCGAACTTGTGTGATTTGTTAGATGTATGGTATGTGTGTTTTTAAAACATTGTTAGGGTGTGTTTGGAACTGATTTAATTGAAGCTGGTACCCCAGCTTCTAAAAAAACTGATTTTGAGAGTAAATTAGAGCATCAGAAATGTTTTTGGAATTTCACCCAAATACTCCAGCTTATGCTTTTGCTCCCTGAAGAAGCAGAATCAGTTTTGAGAATCAGATCCAAACACCCCTTAGTCATCAAAACGAAACCTAACTAAATATAAAAAGAGTAGAATACTCTCGCCAAAATAAACTCATGTCGGATCAGTATTTTTGTTTGAAACTCTTCAAAACACATACGGAGTATTAAATTTTGTGTATTAAAAATTATTTACAATATGTTCCAAAAAAATTTATTTACAATATGAAACACTTTTTGGCCGCATGGTAGGGCAATATCATTGCTGCATTTCAATGTGAAAATTAAAGAATGCAAATTTAAACTTAGTTATAGAATAATGAGTGGTGCTTTGACTCAATTATTTGTATAGATCATGTGTATTTTTACATAGTAACCTTACGAATTGTCAGAAGCATTTTAAAGTAAAAGTCATAGCGTGTGTCTCATCCCAAATAATATTGAAACAGGTATTTTTATGAAAAACACTTGTATCAATATTATTTGGGATGCGACACACCCTATGTGATTCACACGGGTGTTGAACACATGTAGTGTGAAAGTTCTCTTATTGGAAAATTGAAGAAAATATTCAAATAGGAGGGTAATACCAACTCATTTGGGGAATAAATGTTGATAAAAGTCAAAAGTTGGATGCAAGTAGAATGATCCAAGGAACTTTTTTATTGTACAAAAGCAATTTCTTTTACAAAACAATATCAACTTTTAATGTTTCAAAAGCATATACGATAGTATTTTTCAAATCCTATTGATTCTTATCACTCTCAGACATTCTCTCTAAAATCACTTCGACAGAACCAATGTCAAACGTTCCTCAATAGTGCACAAGTGACTCCGAGTTATGGGTGATTGGGTGAACGCATAATTATTCAAAAGGATTCATGTGAACCCAAAATTTATAAAATAAATTGGAACCTTCAAAATCAATGTCCAAAATCAGCCACTACTCCGACTCCAGTGACTCCAAGTGTACCTATCTTCAACTATCATGAATAAAAAGTCATGTTAAGTGATTGTTACAGAGGATCCCCACCAATCTAGTTTTAGCCTACCACTCTAATTTGTCTCATACACACATACACAGAGACGGAGCCAGAAATATGCGTGAGGGGGTCGGATTTTATAAAATTATACGAAGTATACTGTATCAAAGTGATGGATAGTTATTATATAATACTTGCGTTAAATGTTTCATATGTAGTTGAGATAAATGGTAGTTTAATGACCATTTCTCGGTTAATGTATTGATAGATATGTAATGTATCACAATGTTCACACAACTAATGACTGAATAAAGTGTTTTATTTTTAAATTTAAGAATATAATCAACGTCACACATCAAATTTTGCTTATTTCAAGTTAAAATGGCGCTGATTTTTCAAGAAGTCGTAACTTTTCACTCGTAATGAGTTACGAGACTCATAATATATCAAATCAAAGGTATTTCAGAGCTCTACATTCTTGAACTTTGAGCGGGGTCGACTGACCACCCTGACTCCCTGACTCCGCCCCTGCACATACACCGCTAAATATAACCAATATTAATTGTCTCACTGAAACATTTTGAAGACCAGAGCTTCAATTCTTTGAGCTACAAGATTCATAACACTTTTCTCCCATTTATTGGACTAAAGGTCACTAGTAAAATAAACCATTTAGCAATGAGGTAACATATGCAGTACAGGACTCCACCAGTTGGACCATACTCTACACCAATTAGACCATTCACACACTAAATGACTAAAATACCTACCCCTTTATTGAGCTGTAGATGCAATTAATGAGCCATCAGCTTTCAACCAAATTTATGAGCTGCTAATTTAATATGAACAGTACTCCGATCTTGACCGGTGCCCAGGAGACAGGCTGCAATGTGTATATCTCTTTTTCCTATCAGCCGTCCGATCATAGATCCAACAGTCACCATTTCTTCTATCCAAAAATTAAATTCCATTTTTGTTTTGCCTCTCAAGAATTAATTAAATCCCCTTCTCAGAATAAAAACAGAGCTTTCCAGTTTCCTCAGCTTTAGATGCCAACAAGATGGAAAGTGCTTCTTCAGGTATGAGAGGGAAAGAGATCAAGTCCCCTGAGGTGGCTTGGGGCACCCCTACCCCCACCCGCACCCCTACAGTCAGAAAGAAGCTGGGGACCCACTTCATCGAATCAGACGACCGGAGAAGAGCCCTCGGCGGCGGCTACACGGGCGGAGCTACGCCGGTGAACATCCACGGAAAACCCATTTCCGATTTGTCCAAGACCGGCGGCTGGATGGCGGCGTTCTTCATTTTCGGTACCTCCCTCTTCCACCTGTCGGTTCATCTTTTTTTATATATCTGGCATAGACCCGCACCACGAAAACTTTTGGGGAAGAGTGCGTTTTTGAGCAAAATTTGACGTTTTTCGTTTTCTCTCGGGTTTCCGAGCAACATAGATACAGACAGAACTTCATTTGAATATTGAAAAAATTGCAGGAAATGAGATGGCGGAGAGGATGGCGTACTTCGGGCTGTCGGTGAACATGGTGGCATTCATGTTCTACGTGATGCACAGACCATTTACCAGCTCGGCGAACGCAGTAAATAATTTCTTGGGCATATCGCAGGCTTCCTCTGTTCTTGGTGGCTTCTTAGCTGATGCTTACCTCGGCAGATATTGGACTATAGCTATTTTCACTACCATCTATCTTGGGGTAAATTTCAACCTAGACTTGTTTTATACTCCTTTCGTCTAAGGATGTTTTCTTTTGGTGTGGTGTGGTGTGGTCTGGTCTGAACTGGTCTGATCTGGTATGGTCTCTGTGTATTTTATAATTACGGAAGTCAAGTCTGGTCTGATCTGGTCTAGTCTGATCTGGTCTGGGACTGAAAACAGTCCAAAAGAAAACATCAGCATTCTACTTTCCTTTTGGACCATCCCTATTTGGTAAACAATGTCAATTTTTAAATCGTGTTAAGTCAATGGTTTTGTAATATACGGTTTTCTCTATACTGTTATTACTTTATTTAGAAGTTCCATACAAATTTGTCATTTTCGGTTAAAATCATAAATATGAGATTATTGAGTATTTCAACTATGCAATTTTTACTTTATTATTCTAAATTCAAACTCAGGTGAGTGGAAAAACGAACAAAATGCATTCTAAACGGTCTATTCCATATAACTATTGAACAAATAATAAACTTGCTTGAGAATCAAATAATAATTATTGAATGCCACATAAATAATCAAATAAGTTTGATTTTTATTACACTCTATAGTGTTTTGGCTGAATCGGTGATTTTGTTGAAAATTTATGAAGTTCTGGTTGAAGTGACTGGATTGGGTGATTAAGTTGTTTTGTGAAAAACATATCTTTAAATATATTTTATTAATAAAATGAAGAAAAAATTATATGAAAAAGAGTTAAAATGGTTTTCTAAAGTAACTTCAACCAATGCAGCAAAAAAAACAACCGCAACCTTACTTATTTTGATATTTCACAATTCATTGCGTGATATTAAAAATTACGAGTACATATTTAGTGAAAAAGTTGATTGATAAGATTGATAAGCAGAAAAACATAATTTCTAAACAGGATATTTCTCTTTCTTGCTTTTCCACAGTTCAACGTGTGGGCAGTGGCGGAGCCACCCTTTGGCCAGTGGTGTCAATTGACACCGCTGGATTTTTTTTCTTCCATATGTAGGTATATAAAAAAAATTTAAAATTTAAAATTGACACCACTGAAAAATAAAAATTCTCTATATAAGTATAGATAATCTTTCATAAATTATAAATTGACACCATCCAACATTTAAAAAAATTGGGGTCAATTTAAATATTTTAAAAGTTGGAACACCAAATTGAAAAGTCAGCAAAGGAGAATTGAAAAGTTTGTGCCCAAATCGCTGATTGAACTCCAACCTTTGCTGCAAAAAAAAAACGATTGAACGTCGTAAGTCTCAGTCCCAATTCCCAAATCGCTGAAATCGGAAACCCTCGGTCGCAGTCTGTGCCCAATGGGATATTCTCTTTGGTGAAGTTTCTTCTTTTTGTGAAAAGAATAAAATTTCAATTCCAAGTATGAATGATTTTTATGTACCTCATGGGAGAGTCCATCGCAAAGTTATCCAAATCACAAACTTACATCGTCACAAAGTGGACTTGTTCTATGTTGTGGTGGATAGACAACGCGAGGAGTTGAACAATCGATTCACAGAGATTTCTACAGAATTGCTTCTTTATGTGGCTTGCCTTAGTCCTAAAGACACTTTTTCATCTTTTGACAAGGACAAGTTGATTCGCATGGCTCAATTATATCCTTTTGACTTTTCACCGGTAGATGTTCTTGCTCTTGACAGTTAACTAGAAACTTTTATTCTTGATGGGCGCTCCAACTCTGCATTTATAGATATTACAGAAGTTGGTTCTCTTGCTAAAAAATTGGTGGAGACAAAGAAACATATTGTGTATCCATTAGTTTTTTTACTTGTGAAATTAGCTTTGCTTTTATCGGTGGCCACCGCAACTGTGGAAAGAGCTTTCTCAGCCATGAATTTCGTGAAGAACAGGTTGCGCAATCGAATGGGGGATGCTATGATGAATGATGTCTTAGTTACTTTTATTGAAAAAGATATATTCAAAAGTATTGACAAAGAAAAAATTGTACAACGTTTTCAAAATATGAAAACGCGTCGTGGACAGTTATGAATTAGTACTTTAATTTTACCAATGACAATATTTTCTTTTTTGCTTTATATATGTACACATTATTATATAAAATTGTTTTGCTAAATTGACACCACTGACACGAACTCCTGGCTCCGCCACTGCGTGTGGGCTCCTCATTGATGCATTTTAGTTCAGGACACCATCACGAACTCATTGATAAGAAATTAAGAATGCATGTTATAATGTAAGGTTTTGGTAGGTTAATTAGTCTATGTAACCATTTGGTTGTGCCTTAGAAATGATGTCATTAGAGAATGTATACTTTTCCTGTAACTTTCCTTTCAATGCTAAAACAATGTCACATGCTATATTGGCACCCCCAACACATACCATTCAATGTTGTTGTACTTCCTCTGGCCCAAACTATAAATCCTAATTATTAGGAAATATTTCATACTGCAGTACTGCCTCCTTCCAAAAAAAAACTCACTTTGTCAAGACATTAATTAACAAAGTGAAAATATATAATTTTGATTTATATAGAAAATAGGAAAAGGGTTAACCACACAAACATTCTACACACATGTAACTCAAAAAATTATATTCGGGCAATTTTCCAAATTAACACCATAAAATGTTGGTCTTTATCATAAGAAGTGGAAATAGTTCAAAATGGTAATTAATTTTAAAAAGGACAACTATAAAGCTATCATAAACTGATATTAAACATATTTGAAGAAAAAATATTTGCAGGCTATTTTATGGAAAAGTAGGACTTGAAAAAATGTTTTTATGCAGTTTTCTTGGATATACATTTAATATTTATTGACTTTGGTGATGTATTTGTCTAACAAACAAGGTATAAGATATCATACTAATATATGTTGGATTTTAAGATATTTATTCTATCATGTTGACTTTTAAGATATTGCTCAGAAATGGAGTCAAACATGAATTAAGTTCGCAAATAAGAATAATTATGTTTTGTTCCTAAATTAAGAGTTATTTAATCCTTAATATGAGAACAAAAGCAATCAAAATTCTTTTTTAGGAGTGAATGAGCTCTATTTTACCTCTACTTGGTGAACATTCACATCCTTTTACCCTGAAACCTAGACCTATTAGAGATAATAATGTGCTTTTGACAACTTAACAAGAGAGATTATTTCAGTGTGGCACACCCCACACAACATAAATGTAGCCCACAAAGTAAGATACATTCTAATGTTTAATACCAGATTTCTATGGAAAAGTATACATTAAAGAAGTAATGTTAGCATTTTTAAGGATATGTATGGGTAGGTGGCAATTATGATTTTACTATATAAATCTATCCCATATAAACTGTTTTTAGTTTCGTTTTACTGAAATATGAACGACTAAAACTTGAAGTTCAATTCTAAGAATGTCGACTTGACAGAATATATACTCCAAAAAGTTATATGTGAGTTTGTATCTTTACCTTTGTTCATTTTTGGATTACTTAATAGACATCAGAAACTTTAACCTTGTGCATACTTGCATTTCAAGTGGTATTTGTAACTTTTCAAGTGGTATTTCATATTTGTAAGAACACTTACTATGTATTGAAATGAGTCTTTTTTGTTTTTGTATGGAGGGTCTAATAGGAATAACCCTATCTGCAACATTGAAAAGCTTCATCCCAAACCAAAACCAGTGTGATCAGCTAGCAATACTGTTAGGCAGTTGTGAAGCAGCAAAGCCATGGCAGATGACATACCTCTACACAGTCCTTTACATAACAGGCTTCGGAGCAGCAGGTATACGGCCATGTGTTTCCTCCTTTGGGGCAGACCAGTTCGATGAAAGAAGCAGAGACTATAAAGCGCACCTCGACAGATTCTTCAATTTCTTCTATCTTTCTGTCACCCTCGGCGCCATCGTTGCCTTCACCGCTATAGTGTATATCCAAATCAAGCACGGGTGGGGGTACGCTTTCGCGGCATTGGCTATCGCCATGGGTCTATCGAACGTTGTTTTCTTGGCAGGCACGCCTTTGTATCGGCATAGGTTGCCCGGTGGAAGCCCTCTCACCCGAGTTGCTCAAGTCCTAGTTGCTGCCTTTCGCAAGAGAAATGTTGCTTGGGAGGAGAGTGAGTTTGTGGGGCTGTATGAGCTTCAAGGTAAACGATCTGCTATCCAGGGCAGCAGCAAGATTCCTCACACCCATGATTTCAGGTAAACACCAGATCAATGACGTCCCTCCTAAGTCCTAACACATTTTCTTAGGGCCGGTTTAAAAAAGTCAATGTCTGAACACTACGCAAAATGATTAATAATATATTTCTCCATCCCTTATAACTTTGCCAAATTTGACGGGAACGTAAAATAATGAAGTAAAGTTTTGTACTTAAGGTTTGTGCAAAAGAGAGAAATACAAAATAATCACTTGGAATGCATTTATGCACTTGAAACGTGCCCATTAACGTGCATACCGAACTAGACTTGCAAGTTTTTGGTCTAAGTTAATGCCTAGTTGTTCTTAAGATATCATAAATACAAACATTAAAAAACACTTTTTCTGAATTTCAAACTCAACCCTAATGTGCTGAAAATTGAATAAAGTTTTGTGATATGTCTAAACTAACTAAAAATGTAAACAGATGGCTGGACAAAGCCGCTTTGCAGTTGAAGGAAGACGGAATCAGCCCAAGTCCATGGAGGCTGTGCACAGTTACTCAAGTGGAAGAAGTCAAAATCCTAATAAAACTTCTCCCCATCCCAACCTCCACCATAATGCTGAACCTAATCCTAACTGAGTTCTTGACTCTATCAGTCCAGCAAGCCTACACTCTCAACACCCACATGGGTCGTCTCAAACTCCCAATCACCTGCATGCCTGTCTTCCCAGGCCTCAGCATATTCCTCCTCCTCTCTCTTTACTACTCTGTCTTCGTCCCGCTATCCCGACGCATCACTGGTCACCCTCATGGCGCTTCCCAACTCCAGAGGGTCGGTATCGGGCTAGCTGTCTCGATAATCTCTGTTGCATGGGCAGGGGTGTTCGAAAGGTACCGGAGAAGTTACGCTATAAAAAATGGGTACGAGGGTAGTTTCTTGACTGCCATGCCGAACCTGAGTGCCTACTGGCTGCTCATTCAATACTGCCTCATAGGCATCGCGGAGGCCTTCTGCATTGTGGGGTTGCTTGAGTTTCTATACGAGGAAGCGCCCGATGCCATGCGAAGCATTGGGTCAGCTTATGCGGCCGTGGCAGGAGGGTTAGGATGTTTCGGGGCAACAATCATGAACAGCATTGTGAAAGCATTAACGGGTGGGAAGGAAGACGATGGCGGGCTGGCACTGCATTCGTGGCTGTCACAGAACATAAACACAGGACGGTTCGACTACTTTTACTGGCTTTTGACCGTGATGAGTGTGATCAACTTCTGCGCGTTTTTGTATGCAGCGAGTAGGTATGAGTACAGGGTGAAGCTGGTGAGTGGTGATGAGGTCAGGCTGCAACCGGTTAAAAGTGATCTGCCAACCGTAGGGGAGTGATTTGATGAAGTATACTAGCTAGCTGTATACTTCCTGTTAATTAATATAATTAGCTGTTTTGAGGAATTCTTTTCTGCTTGTTTGCCTATAGCATTATACGAGTATTATATTACTTTGATCTTTCCCTCAATTGGTATACCAGTGTATTGTGGATTTCACACAGAAAGGGTATTCATTTGTTGCTCTTCATTTCATAAAAAAGGAATTAGACTGCACCTTCTAATTTTCTATTACCCAATTTTTGGCACATTCTTCATGTTTGACCAACTGAATTGCGTTACTATCAAAACAATAGACCCAAATATTTTTTGAATTAGGTTAAGAGAAAATCCCCCAAAGTAGGACTAGAAACAAGGACAAAGGGGAGGTTTATGGTATACCAATCTACATATCAAATCGAGAGCATAAATAGGATTCATGGACAAAATTTTAAGATGGCAGTTTCGGTTTATTTAGTGATTGGTTAGAAATTAGAATTGTCATTTTCGGACTCGACTAATTCACAAGTTGTGCGAGACAATCCAAGTTTCTAGTCAGGTAAATTGATCCGTGCACATTGCGAATTGGCCCACGGAATCATGGGCCGAAATATAAACATCGACTTGCGTTGTTTTCAATGTTGTCATTAGCTATTAAATATACTTGCTCCTACATATGTAGCACATTTTAGGGTATAAAGCTAATAAATTATTATTTCTACACTAAGGCTATGTTTGGCGGGGATAAGTCTCTTACTTCTAGCTTTTGTATTGTTCAAAAAGTTTCTAAAAGCTTCTAGTTATATGTTTGGCATGACAATATTTAAGAGCTTTTGAAAAATAAAAAGATCTTTTTTGAGATGCTACAGGCAGTAGCATCTAGAAAAAGCCCGTGACTTTTAGTATTAATTAGCCTTAACAGCTTGTATACCAAACCGAACTAAATCAAACAGTCAGCTTTTTACCAAACACCTACCACCTTTTGTTTTTAAGATCTTTTCAGTCACTAAAAGCTAATAGTTATTAAAAAGCTCGCAAAAGTATCTTTTCAGCTAGTTGTGCCAAACATACCCTAACTATTCAAATATATTGCTTAAGAGTCTTTTGTGTTATACTCCTTGAGTTGAGCTACATGTGCGGGTAGGAATTTTACTTTCAATAGACTAAAGTGAGTTGCGATATTACCTAAACGCAAATTTATAATACTCTCAAGGTATCGTACCTTAATTATGTGGATTATCAATTAGAATATTATAATTGAATTGTGAACATTTATAAATGATGAAATAATGAGTTGAATTAATGAAATTGGTAATGGCTAAAATACCCTCACATTTTTGTGAGGTTCCCTAACACTCGCCTTACGTACCCTCTTACACAAAACTGAATCCCAAAACCTATTTAACCGGTTATTCTGGCCCGACTCTAATTTCTTACGGAGCACTGTTGCATAACTTACGTTTTGTTGTTTTGTACTCCATCCGTCCCCCATAATTGTCCTATTTTTCCATTTTTGGATGCCCCCTTATTATTGTATCGCATCATATTTGGTAACATCACTAACATGTGTGACTTTAATTTATTCTTATTATTTTCACCATATCAACTCATTATCAATCACATAATTCTATTTTTTTTAAAAAACTACACCACTCTCTTCCATCCCAATATTAGGGGGCGGAGGTAGTGCTGGACTCAGGCCGGGCGGCCCGGCCCGGAACCGGCCCGGTCCGGTTACTGTTTGGCCCGGCCCGGCCCGGGGCCCGGTGGGTCCACCAGTTCGGTTCGGCCCGGCCCGGCTGCTGGGCGGTTCGGGCTCGGGCCCAGGTTTTGGTGAACCGGCCTGGCCGGTCCGGGCCCGGTCCGGGCCGGATTTTAATTTTTTTTTTTTTTTGAAATTTTTTTAAGTTGTAGGTTGGATTAGGTATTTTGGGCCATTTGAGGTGGTTTGGGATGGTTTGGGGTTGAGGGGGAGGGGTAGGGGATTAAATAGGAGAACAAAAAAAAAAATTAATTGGGCCGGTTCGGCCCGGCCCGGCCCGGTTTGGCCCGGAACCGGGACCGGAACCGGCCACCGGCGGTTCGGGCTCGGGCCTCCCTTTTCTGGCCCGAGGCCCGGCCGGGCCCAGACCCGAACCGGGCCCGAACCGGCCCGAGTCCAGCCCTAGGCGGAGGGAGTACCATCTTCTGAAGGGTATGCTTAAGTCCTAAAGAAAGGAATGGCTTTTTAAGTGATGTGTATTTGGTCTAAGATTTCGTAAGATTTAAAAGATTTTTCTTTTTCATTAACTTATGGCATTCAACCCGACATTTTGATAACCTGATAAATCTCATGACGTTCAATCACGACTTTAAATATTTATTAAATAGTGCCAAAAAAACTCTTATTCACTACTCAATTGCGATTTTCATTCTATTTGAAAATGTTTTCTGATATAGATTTTCATTAGAGATTTTTCTTACCATTAGTCAAATAAACCTATGGAAAATGTTACTAAAAGTGCTATGATTATGTCATTACAGTAATTATAATGTAAAAGATACATAATTATAATTAGGGAAAAGTAAAATAAAGAAAATTGTGGTTTTAGCCGTTTTCAAATAAGGGTATGAAGTTCATTTTTACACAAATTGGAGCATGTGCTTTTTTATACATCCACGTAGTCTTCTTTCTGACGCAGTTTAGACGGTAACCTTCAAAGTGAAAGCACATGCTCCACTTTGAGAAAAAATGAACCTAATGTGTTGAAATCTCACACCGGAAAATTGTAAAGCAATAAAGTGATATATTAAGATTTGTATTTTTCCTATAAGATTGACCTTTTAGGGTGAAACATCTCCAATCCTATGAAGTATAAAAATTACATTTTTATTCACTACCTTAGCTTTTTTGGTCATGTATTAACATTATTTCGTTTCGTTTTTCCAAGGAAGCTTTTATGATTTTTAATGGTTTTTCTTAAGGTGGATTTTTATTAGAATCCAGCACTCTTTATGGACAAGAAACAACATGCAATCTCGCTGTACAAAAAAGAAGAGCAACTCGTGCAACACTCTTATTTCTGCTCAACGTACGAGCTTTTGGACTTTTGTTTGTTTGACTCATTTTTATGACTTCTATTTTGTCTTCGCGCATTGTACCAATTCACTAGTTCATCCATTCTAATATCGTCCGTTTCTTTTTAATCGCAACATGTTAAATTTTACACTATTCATATGTTCTACTTTGACTGCATTTTACGCTATTATTTTATAAGAATTATTTTTTTAAAAAACTACTGTTCGATTCATCTCATTACAAATTTTTAAAATCTGATTTTAAAATATTTTTTACTAATAGAGACTAAGATATAATTACGGTCAAAGACGTGCGTTGGCAAGTGTGAAATGTTGACCGTTGCAACTAAAAAAGAATGGAGGAAGTATAAATTATTGTTCAAGGTTGAATGACCATAAAATGAAGTTTCTATTTTAAATTTATAGAAATGAGATCAAAGTATGTTTAAGTACAAGAAATGTTAAGTATAAAATGAGATAAATTACATTTATACAAACTCAAATGTGAGTTTATTTATGTATAGTAGTGTCTATATATTTATAACTTTGATTTATTACTAGTACAGTACTCGTGCATACGCACGGGGAAAAACAGTTGGTCTATATATACTTTTATTCAAGATCTAATTGAATATGAAAATAGATTTTTTTTTACAATTTACATCATACTCCCTCCCGTTCACATTCTTCTTTACACTTACTATTCATTGGTCAACTCAAGTCACTCTTAATCTTTTACTTTATATACCAAATTTTTATTGAATTTAAATTTTCTTGATCAGGCTTTGTAGCAGTTCCAATGTAGTTTCTGAATATGTAAATTTTATTTACTAAAAATAATCTGAGTGTGAACAGGGATCGAGTTGCTTTATCGTCAGTCAAGCATTTTTTCCCAAGTGTCAAGGAGAATGTGAACCGGAGGGAGTATAAAACTATGTTGTAAAAACCGGACCGGAGAGTGACCCGGCCACATGACTGGGTCACGGGTCAACCCGGACCCGGTGGGTCAACCCGGTCAACGCCGGAAAACCGGTCAATGATTATACGTCTATATAATAATAGTAAACATATAATTACATATAAAATTATAATAAAAATTAGTTATTATTCATAATAATCAACTAACAATACTACTTATTAAGCATTTAATACACTCTTATAATATTTCAATGTATATTTTGATCTTATAAAAATATATAATGATATTTTTATTTTTATTGTACATCTATATTATAATTTGGCATGATGTTCATTCTTAAATAAATATATAAATATAGTACGTAGTTTTTCTTTTTAAGGTATTGAAATTGCAATTTTATTGGTATAAAAAATGCATTAAAAATAAAAAAGAAATTACTTTTTTTTGGATAAAAACACCCAAAAACTGGGTTTTACCGGGTTTTTCGGGTTTCTTGGGTCCGGGTCTTGACCGGGTTTTCCCAGGTCAACCGAGTTTTTCCGGTTTTTGACCATTTTCGGGTTTTGAAAAAACCGAACCGGTTTTTTGTCCGGGTCACCGGATTCCGGTTCAACCCGGCCGGGTCGGGTCGGTTTTTAAAACATAGGTATAAAACACTACATAAAAGAGAGAGAATTCTTGCAATCAATTATTAGTCCTCTTGTCTTCTTATACCTAAAAGCATTACGTAATAGACAAAAAATCTCCCGCTCAAGATTCTTATACTTGAGAGAGAAAATTCTCTCATTGCATTGTTAGCCTTCTTATCTTATACTTTAAAGCACTACGCGTGTGAGAGAAAAAATTTCAGGTCAATTGTTTTAGATGGCTTATCTTGTGCCTAAAAGCACTACATATGAGATAAAATTTTCCCGGACAATTGTTTTAGACAACTTATCTTATGCCTAAATGGCCTACATATAGTAGAGAAAATTCATCCGCTCAATTATTAGTCCGCTTATCTTATAGCTAAGAGCATCACGTAATAGAGAGATAATTCTCCCGCTGAAGTTTTAGCCGGCTTATATTCTTATATCTAAAAGAACTACATATGAGAGAAAATTCTCCCGCTGAATAGTTAGCCTTCTTATCTTATACATAAAAGCACTACGTATGAGAGGCAAAATTCTTCTGCTCAAGTTTTAGTCGGCTTATCTACTTCTTATGCCTAAAAGCACAACGTATGAGAGATAAAAAAAATT